TTCAATATACGCAAATCAATCAATGTGATACACCATATTAACAAATTGAAGGAGAAAAACCATATGATCATCTCAATAGATGCAGAGAAAGCTTTCAACAAAATTCAACACCCATTTATGGTAAAAACCCTGCAGAAAATAGGCATAGAGGGAACTTTCCTCAACATAATAAAGGCCATATATGACAAACCCACAGCCAACATCATCCTCAATGGTGAAAAACTGAAAGCATTTCCACTAAGATCAGGAACAAGACAAGGTTGCCCACTCTCACCACTCTTATTCAACATAGTTTTGGAAGTTTTAGCCACAGCAATCAGAGAAGAAAAGGAAATAAAAGGAATCCAAATCAGAAAAGAAGAAGTAAAGCTGTCACTGTTTGCAGATGACATGATACTATACATAGAGAATCCTAAAGATACTACCAGAAAACTACTAGAGCTAATCAATGAATTTGGTAAAGTTGCAGGATACAAAATTAATGCACAGAAATCTCTAGCATTCCTATACACTAATGATGAAAAATCTGAAAGTGAAATCAAGAAAACACTCCCATTTACCATTGCAACAAAAAGAATAAAATATCTAGGAATAAACCTACCTAAGGAGACAAAAGACCTGTATGCAGAAAATTATAAGACACTGAGGAAAGAAATTAAAGATGATACAAAGAGATGGACAGATATACCATGTTCTTGGATTGGAGGAATCAACATTGTGAAAATGACTCTACTACCCCAAGCAATCTACAGATTCAATGCAATCCCTATCAAACTACCACTGGCATTTTTCACAGAACTAGAACAAAAAATTTCACAATTTGTACGGAAACACAAAAGACCCCGAATAGCCAAGCAATCTTCAGAACAAAAAACGTAGCTGGAGGAATCAGGCTCCCTGACTTCAGACTATACTACAAAGCTACAGTAATCAAGACAGTATGGTACTGGCACGAAAACAGAAAGATAGATCAATGGAACAGGATAGAAAGCCCAGAGATAAACCCACGCACATATGGACACCTTATCTTTGATAAAGGAGGCAGGAATGTACAGTGGAGAAAGGACAACCTCTTCAATAAGTGGTGCTGGGAAAACTGGACAGGTACATGTAAAAGTATGAGATTAGATCACTCCCTAACACCATACACAAAAATAAGCTCAAAATGGATTAAAGACCTAAATGTAAGGCCAGACACTATCAAACTCTTAGAGGAAAACATAGGCAGAACACTCTATGACATAAATCACAGCAAGATCCTTTTTGACCCACCTCCTAGAGAAATGGAAATAAAAACAAAAATAAACAAATGGGACCTAATGAAACTTCAAAGCTTTTGCACAGCAAAGGAAACCATAAACAAGACCAAAAGACAGCCCTCAGAATGGGAGAAAATATTTGCAAATGAAGCAACTGACAAAGGATTAATCTCCAAAATTTACAAGCAGCTCATGCAGCTCAATATCAAAAAACAAACAACCCAATCCAAAAATGGGCAGAAGACCTAAATAGACATTTCTCCAAAGAAGATATACAGATTGCCAACAAACACATGAAAGAATGCTCAACATCATTAATCATTAGAGAAATGCAAATCAAAACTAAAATGAGGTATCATCTCATACCGGTCAGAGTGACCATCGTCAAAAAATCTACAAACAATAAATGCTGGAGAGGGTGTGGAGAAAAGGGAACCATCTTGCACTGTTGGTGTTCATGTAAATTGATACAGCCACTATGGAGAACAGTATGGAGGTTCCTTAAAAATCTAAAAATAGAACTACCATACGACCCAGCAATTCCACTACTGGGCATATACCCTGAGAAAACCATAATTCAAAAAGAGTCATGTACCAAAATGTTCATTGTAGGTCTATTTACAATAGCCAGGACATGGAAGCAACCTATGTGTCCACTGACAGATGAATGGCTGAAGAAGATGTGGCACATATATACAATGCAATATTACTCAGCCATAATAAGAAACGAAATTGAGTTATTTGTAGTGAGATGGATGGACCTAGAGTCTGTCATACACAGTGAAGTAAGTCAGAAATAGAAAAACAAATACCATATGCTAACACATATATATGGAATCTAAGAAGAAAAAAAAAAGTCATGAAGAACCTAGGGGCAAGACAGGAATAAAGACACAGACCTACTAGTGAACGGACTTGAGGATATGGGGAGGGGGAAGGGTAAGCTGTGACAAAGTGAGAGAGTGGCATGGACATATATACACTACCAAACGTAAAATAGATAGGTAGTGGGAAGCAGCTGCGTAGCACAGGGAGACCAGCTCGGTGCTTTGTGACCATCTAGAGGGGTGGGATAGGGAGGGTGGGAGGGAGGGAGACGCAAGAGGGAAGAGATATGGGAACATATGTATATGTATAACTGATTCACTTTGTTATAAAGCAGAAACTAACACACCATTGTAAAGCAATTATACTCCAATAAAGATGTTAAAAAGAAAAAGAACATGTGGTTGGCAAGGATGTGGAGAAATTGGAACCATCATGCATTTCTTATGGGAATATAAAACAATCCAGCTATGGAAAACAGTTTGCCGGTTCCTCAAAAAGTGAGACATAGAATTGAGACCCAGCCATTTCACTCGTAGGTATATCCTCAAAAGAGCAGAAAACAGGTCTTCGAACAAAAACTTGTATAGACAAATGTTCATAGCAGCAGTATTCACAATCACCAAAAGGTGGAAACAACCTAAGTGTCCATCAATAGATGAATGAATAAGCCAAAGGTGGTCCATCCACATAATGGAATAGTATTCAGCCATGGTAAGGAATGAAGTATTGATGCATGCTACAGCAGGGATGAACTGTGAAAACATTATGTTACGTGAAAGAAGCCAGTGACAAAAGACCATGTATGATGTGATTCCGTTTATATAAAATGTCCAGAAGAGGAAAATCCAAGGAGACAGAAAGTAGATTTGTGTTTGATTAGGGCTGAGGGAAATGGAGGGCTGGGTGGAGAGGGATGATAGCTAAAGGGTACAAGATTTCTCTTTGTAGTGATGAAAAGATTCTAAATTGACTTGGGTGATGGATGCACATATCTGTGAATATACTAAAAACCACTGAATTGTAGGCTTGGCTTTAAATGGGTCAATTATATGGTATATGAATTATACCTCAATAAGGCTGTTTTAAAAAAGGGAGAGAGAGAAGCTAAAAATTAAAATATTAAAACACACACACGCTGTCCTAGGTGTTTGGACAGACTCTGCCAGATCCATTATGGATAGTCTCAATTAGTGACCATTCCAATGCTGGAGCTGATTTAGAAAAACATAAACAAAATTAAGAGTGTGTCAGGCAGGGGCTTCCCTGGTGGCGCAGTGGTTGAGAGTCTGCCTGCCGATGTAGGGGACACGGGTTCGAGCCCTGGTCTGGGAGAATCCCACATGCCGCATACTAACTGGGCCCGTGAGCCACAACTACTGAGCCTGCACGTCCGGAGCCTGTGCTCCGCAATGAGAGGCCGCGACAGTGAGAGGCCCGCGCACCGCGATGAAGAGTGACCCCCGTTTGCCGCAATTGGAGAGAGCCCTCGCGCAGAAAAAAAAAACCAAAAAAACCAAAAAAAAAAAAAATAAAATAAAAAAAAAAAAAAAAAAGAGTGTGTCAGGCAGAGAAGGTAAGAATGGAACAACACATCCAAAGCCTAAAGCAGTGAATGGTGCTAGCATGTTCTGAAGCATTGAGATGCTGAGCGGGAGCTGGGCCGTGAGGACAGTGGCAAGAGAGCAACACTGTGGAGTTGAGAGTAGTTGACCCAGAATATAGCAGTGGCCTGGAAAGCAGGCTTCAGAGTGATTCCATCACTCACTGGGTATGTGTGCAGGCAAATTTGTGATCTTTCTTAAGCATCCATTTCCTGTAATTGGGAATAAACACCATGCCCCCCTCACAAGATACTGTACTTTGAGGATTTAATGAAGCAAGATAGGTAAAGCGTATAGTCAAAGCCTGGCAAACAGTATGCAGTCCATAAGCGTTAGTGCCCTGAGCTCTTGGGAAGCTAAAAGAGTTCAAAATGAGAAATCACCAGTTATCAACAAAATGTTACAGCTGATGATAAAGGTTTCAAGCTTTTTGAGTTTTGAGTAATTTAGAGACATTGCCACTAATTTAACTTCCTCTGATCCATCAAGAAAAATACATGTTTTTAAAAGAAAATCTCTAGAGAATTATGGTAACTGTCCCCTAGACTAATGGTACTGATCTGGCCTCAGTAGCTCAAGCTTAGCCAGAAAAATAACAAGTTCCTGTTACGATGATATTCTAATTAAATATCCCAAACTTTATTCCAGGTATACCCAATCCAATATTGGCAGAGCTAATTCAAGCAAGAACATTCTAGCCAGTAAATAATAAATTCTCAGAAGCCAAAATTTCCATTTACACCTGTAAATAGAAAATTCAATTTAATGCAAATTGTTAAATAATAAGACCAGTGGGCAATGAACCATACTAAACACATCATATGAAATGGATCAGTCATGCAGCATGGTGACCAGGAGAGAAATCTGTGACATGTTCTGTAGCTAAATGCTATGTGTTTACACATGCAAGCACACGCATGCAGACGCACACAACAAGATGCTACCACAGAGACACAGCATGCGTGTGAAAGATGGAGAAATTCTGAATGAGTAGCTGGTTGCATTCCTCTGTGTTTAAGATCTTTTGCTCACCTTCCGTAGGATCATCTAACCATGAAGAATGCTATTTTATACAATGCTTGGCAGAGCAGTTGTTAGGAAGGGGAATCCAGTAAATGGCTTTGCTGAAGCTAAAAATCATTAAGACGGGGATTCAGGCATGTTCTTTATTGAGACCTCCTTCTTGAGAAAGTTCAAAAGTCACCATCCACAAATTGAAAATCAGCAACATACTTACACAAAATACGTACAGAATTCCTCTGATTGAGGCACAGAAGATTAAAATAAGTCAACATAGATCATTTTTTCCTACCTTAATCTGGACAATAGGACATGGCTCAGGCATCAGAGATTTTGGAGATCATTCAACATGCTAGATGCAGGATGTATCTTATAGCGCATCTGGAGAGCAAGGGACTTGGAAGAGAAAAGTTTGGAAGAAAATAGGTTTGATTTTTAAATATTTTCCAGCTCTTTTTTTAAATAAGCTATCATGCATCTGAGCTTGGAAACAATTTAAAAGAAACAATCAAGTGGATCATCTTTCACCATAGTCACGAAGGTGCTGACACCCTAACGTAGGCTGTTTTAACAAGAGAGCAAAATCCTTAATGCTAATGTAGCACTTTGCTTTTTGAGTTCCCAGAGTCTGAAGAGTATGCAGACCAAAAAGCTTAGCAAATCTTGGGAGCAAATTATTTTTATTTTTTTCATATGTGTTTGTGAATTACCTGTTTGCTTGGTGCTGAGAAATTTCACAGGAAGTGGAACTTTCAGGGCTAAAACCAGAAAATGCCAGGGCAAACCGGGGCAAGATGGTTACCTTATGTGTTTATCAACAAAAGACTAAAACCAACATATAATCTCTACACACACATCAACACACCTATGTGGAAATAATTTTAAAATAATGGCATTCAAAAATGAAAATGTAGGGCTTCCCTGGTGGCGCAGCGGTGGAGAGTCCGCCTGCCGATGCAGGGGACACGGGTTCGTGCCCCGGTCCGGGAAGATCCCACATGCCGCGGAGCGGCTGGGCCCGTGAGCCATGGCCGCTGAGCCTATGCGTCCGGAGCCTGTGCTCCGCAACGGGAGGGGCCACAACAGTGAGAGGCCCGCGTACCGCAAAAAAAAAAAAAAAAAAAAAAAAAAAAAAATGAAAATGAAAATGTAAAATATTCAGCTAAACCATTAATCATTCATTCTCCTCAGTACCCTTTAGTTACTTCCACTTCCTTGCCCTCCGATCAAATCTTAAAGGAAGTTTTCAAAGATATTTTCGAATCAGAAGGTCCCACAGTCAACCGAAGAACTTGCCCCAAGCTCATTGGTCTTCAGGCATGTAGAAAGTTTGGGGGAAAAAAAGTTTTTGATGTAAAATCATTTCTACACTGATTCAGAGAACCGATTCAACGTTTTGAATAGTTCAAGTCAAATTTATGCCTGAAATATCGATATAATTAAGGAAATAAAAATATTATCTGGAATATGGCTTTAACCCAACCAAAAGAAAACATCAGGTCCTTTTCTTTGTTATATCATTTGAACTTAGCATTTTCTTCTTGCTAAGAGTCTGTTAATGAGGCTAATACAGCAAAAGAAAGTGTTTATGTTTGCCCACCTTAATCACTCTCCACTTTCGTCTTCACATCTTTGAGATTAAAACGTAGATTAGCAAAAGAACAGTTGTTTCTTTCTAAATGCATTGTAAGTTTGTTTTTTCAGTTGATTTCTTCCAAATTTCCAGTGTTATCTGCTGCAAATATTTTACTCTTGAATATTTTATGTAATTAATTGAGAAGTAGCGATAATGTAAGACTATTTCATCCAGCGATCCCCCAGCATATGGAGAATACTGCAAATTACCAAGTAAGTCCACTGAGTGAAACGTAAGTTAAAAATGAGTTTAAGAGACAGCGGGACATGTTTATGTAGGCAAAAGGGGTTGGAAGATTTGCTGACAACACGGAGAGGTGTGTTGCAATAAACTTGAAGGAGACAGGCCATTGGGCCAACCAGCCCTTTTCTATCCAGGAATTCCTTATGTTCTCATTAGTGTCTCACATCCGGACAGCTGTGTTATTAAAATTTGGCCCTAAACTTGAGTCAATGAAGGAGTTTCATGTCTTGATTTCATTCTTCCTTTACATATTAAATACACAAACACACATACACACACACACGTGCGCGTGCACACACACAAATTTCAGCTTTGGTTCAAGGAAGCATTTCATTTCACGTCCAGACATCAGATTTTTGTGACTCATGGCCAAGGACAGGGAATGGCTTTGTGAACAAGCTTGTTCTGATCATGTCCACCTCTGTCTGATAAGAGTACATGTTCATGGCACCTCACTTTCATTAATACAACATTCTAAACAGTCCTCTGAATGGCCACCTTTAGTACTGAGTTAGGTTCAAGCTTCTAGAACTGAGTTTCTTGGGAAGAAAAAATGTTTTAAGGGTTAGAGAAAAAGGGCAGTTCTCTTCATTCCTTTATCTTTCCTCATCTTTTAAAATATGTGGTTAGGAAAGATTTTGTACAGGATTGGTTAGAAGCCAAGAGCTTCACTGACCCTTTTAGTCGTTGCCATTTCACATTTCTGGCCTCAGGAACTGGTGGAATTTTAGAACAAATTTTAATTTATAGGATGCAAGCATAACCTGCATCTGAATATAAATACCAAACACATGCATTAGCGCTTTGCAGTTAACAAGCACTTGGATCCCCACTGTCTTGTTTGCTCTAATTCATGATCCTATTAGCTTGGTGCTATTATCTGATATTTATCGATGTAGAAACTAAGGCCCAAAGAAGTTAAGTGACTTGGCCAAAATCACTTGCCCAAGTGGTAAGTAGTTGACTTAAAATAGAGGTTAAAGAAAGAACTTAAATTCAAACAGAAAATAAAGCTCCATTTTTAATGTAATTTTTTTAAAAATAAAGTTGAGCAAAAACATAAACAAATGAGGAGCTTATGTCTACTTGGGTCCATTTCTAAAGACCTATTCCATTACATGGTAACAGCATATGTATGTGTGCTACTTAGTTATCTTAAGTAAAGAGTAAAGACGCTTAAGGAAACAAATTCATATATTCACTAAAGGCTTCTTTATAGTGTTGTTATCTTTTTTCTGTTTTAGGTTAAAAAATATACAACCACGAAAATCAATTCATAAATCAAAATATTAATGTTATTTGTTTATACTTGTTTTAACTTCAAGCATCATACCTTTCAAAGCAAAAACCCAAAGCCTTACCTATATTCTAGTGAACTGACAATTACTGAAAATAATACTCTCCTAATGAAAGCCAAATCCACATTCAAAAGCTATTAACTGTTGTTGCAAACAGAAGCCTTAGTCAACATTTGAGCATAACAGATAAAGTACTGGAATATAAACAAATAGATGATGAAGAGAGGGGCAGTGGGGGCAGGAAGAGAGTGTTGAGGAAAGAGAGAGGGAGACTGCTGCACAGAGCCTTACCCCTAGGGAGGATCCAGGAACCCGAAAGCCCCCTAAGGAGCTGCCTCCAAACGCCCAGTTCCTTCTGATGTGGTCCCTGTATTTGGTTCTCTCCTGAAACAAGTGCCCTGGTCTGATGGCCAGTTTGAGGCCACTCCCCTGATAACCTGTCTAGCCCTTGCTATAATGTCCTCCTGTCAGGGGCCAGAGCTGGTCCATGAGACCCAACATGGGTCTGATTGGGGTCCCATTACAACCGAAGCAGAACCCCCAGAAAGGAAGAGACACTACCTCATACTTGGCAAGAAGAGTACCACCCCACCAGAATTAACCCCGGATGCTGGGGTCAGTCTCCTGAGAGCTTTGGGCACCAAAGCGCTCTAGCTATTGTCATTGGAACGTCGATCTCCTTCCCTGAAACTCTGACACTAGGCTTTCTCCCCTCTTCCTCCCAGCCTGCTCCAAGGTCCCAAGATACATTTAGCCCAGCCTGGAAGGGTTAAAACATGCCACAGGGGATTTAAACTAATTTCAGTGGTAGCTGATGGATTTTAAAGACCTGACCTTTTGTGAATTAGGAAGATCTACTCTCGCCTTCACTTTATTTTGTAGCCATCGTTTGGCTAGATGGGTCTGACTTCTATACTCCCAGTAGCATTCATCACACACAGTCTGTCCTCCCCGCCAGCCTGCAAGGATTAGGTCTGTCTTTTTTTTCTTTACTATTATTATTACTGTTATTTTTATTTTTTTTGGCCATGCTGTGTGGCATGTGGGATCTTAGTTCCCCGACCAGGGATGGAACCCGTGCCCCCTGCATCGGGAGTGCAGAGTCTTAACCACTGGACCACCAAGGAAGTCCCGGATTAGGTCTGTCTTGATCACTGTTGTACCCTTATTCCTAGCACGGTGCCCAGCATATAGCAGAAATTAATAAGCATTTGCAATGAACACATATATGATACATGTATGCAACTGTCAAGCAATCCATTAGCTTAGGAAATGAGGTGATTCATCACATATTTGAATTTATTAATTGGCTAATAATACTGATGCATTAGACAGCACATTTACATTTCATACTTATATTGTAAAGCACAAATATATCAAATAATATGTTTTTATCTACCATTTTAAATTCTGAAAAACTTTTTTCCCTTCAAAAGAATATCTGAGGGGTGGGATAGGGAGGGTGGGAGGGAGGGAGATGCAAGAGGGAAGACATATGGGAACATATGTTTATGTATGACTGATTCACTTTGTTATAAAGCAGAAACTAACACACCATTGTAAAGCAATTATACCCCAATAAAGATGTTAAAAAAAAAAAAAGCAACTGTACCTGTGTACTATATATCATAATGTTTAATTTCAATGTCTCAGATTTCACAGAGTGAATAAAATAAAATTACTTCTTTAAAAGTTCAAAAAAAAAAAAAGAATATCTGCTAAACTTGCTTTATAAAATCCTGAGTGAAGAGAAGCGAAAGACAGCCTCTCACTGGAAGCAGCCCTTCATTCAACAACTGAACTCTAAGAAATATACATTTTCTTAGAACTCACATTTATCAGAAAAAAATTCCGGAAAATTGCAGGTAACATATATTCGGATAGTTTCATTACGTTTACTTAAAACTAAGAAGTTTATGACTTTAAGGCAAAGGGAACAAATTATTTTTTAAATGTTCAGTCTCTATATGATCCCTGCTGCCCCTACTCTCCTATCTCAAATAAGCCAAATTAATTTTCCAATTTCACTTCCAAACTACTCTCTTGAATGACTGTGTTTATGATTTGGTGTCTTTGTGTGCTAAAGACAAGTAACAGACCAGTTATGGAAAAGAGGAGAAAAAAATTCCAGTGCTCTCTTAAGACCATGGCTTCCTTTCTAATACATACATATATGTATGTATCAGGACCAAACAGAGTCACAGGACACTGGGTTCAATTTTTACTTTGACAGTAGTCCCATGTGACTCTGAGCCAGTCCTTTCAACACCGTTATTTCCTCATCTGTCACATAAGAATAATAAGATTTGCCCTTTACCAGTTTCCAAAGATGTTTCCATATCTGAAACATACTTGGGACTCCCAAAATAGGTTTGATTATTTTGTCTTACTCCATCAAAATCTTAATTTCCTGCTTTTCCAAATTAGGGATAAAAATATTTGCCAACCTTGAAAGTTTATTATAAGAATCAAGTAAAATAATGCACATGTAAAAGCTTTGAAATTTGAAAATGTTTACATGTGAAAGGTCTTGTTATTTTAATACTTTTGCAAATGCATGTTTAAACTAATGCAAGTTATTCAAAAATGCAGTGAGAAATTTCCATCTTTTGGGTCTCCTCTTAATATGAAGCATGGAAGGTCTTCTGGTGGCTAAACGCATTATCAATAAAACATGCATGTGAAAAAAAAAAAAACGCATGTGCTTGGAGTTCTTCATTCAGTAATAAAAATTAGTTTGTACCATGACATTCATATTCAGTTTAAGAAGTATTCTTAAGTGTTCACTATGTGCCAGATACTTACTAAGAGTTGGGGATACTTAGCTAAGGCTGCTATAACAAAATACCATAGACTGGGTGACTTAAACAATAGACACTTATTTCTCACGGGTTTGAAAGCTGGGAAGTCTAAGATCAAGGTGCCAGCAGATTCAGTTCCTAGTGAGAACTGGCTTCCTGGCTTGTGGACAGCCACCTTCTTGCTGTGTGCTCACATAACCCTTCTTCAGTGCATGCCCAAGGAGAGAGCATGATCTCTGTGTTCCTCTTCTTTTAAGAACACTACTCCCATCATGGGTACCCCACCCTCATGACCTCATCTAAACCTAATTTCTTCCCAAAGGCCCCACCTCCAATTACCATCACATTGGGGGTTAGGGCTTTACTAAATTAATTTTGGGGGACACAACATTCAGCCCATCATAGGGTAAAAAGTCAAAGATGACAGTGTCCCTGACCTCATGGAGGCCTTATTCCAGTTGAAAGAAGACATAAAGGAAGGACCTCAGTGCAGAGTGTTAAATGCTATGAGGACAACAGAAGGGCCAGGAGGAGATGACATGTGTGCTGAGTTAAAGGATGAACAGAGAAGTCAGCCAAATAAAGGGAGCAGGAAGGCGTATTCCTGGTAGAGTAAACGGTATAGGCAAAGGCCCTAACATTGGAAACAGCATGGTTTGTTCAGGGGAAAATGCAAACAATATTATAAAAGTGTAAGGTGCCATTTGAAGAGTGGTGGGAGAAGAGGATGAAGAAAGAAAACATTCCATCTAAGAGGACCACATGTGCCTTTCTAAAGAACTTGTGGTTTATCGCACTGGCACTGTGCTTCTCACACTAGGGTACTCAAACCCTGGGGACAGGCAAGATTAACATGGCCCAGCTTCTTGGGTCCTCAATTGTACCCAAAACTATGGGAAAGAAACAAAGTTGAAGCTGAAGTAGTATTATTTCAAAACACTCTTTGTAAATATTAAAACACCCATCCTTAGGGTTACATCCTTAGGGTTACCTGAGTTGGAGATGCACAGCTGGTATGTAATGGGGAATCGCTGATGGCTTTTATGCTCAGCAGTGACACAGTCAGATTTATGTTCTAGATCAATCACTCACTCTGGTAATGGTATGAAGAACAGACATGAGGGAAGAAAGACTACAAATGGGAAAGTCCCTTAGGAGCTGGGCATTTCCTCTTTCAGGAAAGAGATGCTGAGTAGCTGAAACAGGGTAGGGATGTAAGTGGGGAGGATTTGAGCACATGTGAGGAACTTGTGGAAGTAAGGTCGTTAGCACTTAGTGATTCACTATGGAAGTTAAGAGAAAGACAGGAGTCAAAGGTCAACCCAGGGTTTGGGCTCAGGAGACTGGATGGAGAGTGATGCCCTTCAGCTAGCTGGCGAACACGGGAGAAAGTGAAGTTAGGAGAAGATTACAGCTTCAGTTTTGAACATGTACAGTTCTACATACCCAGGGATCTCCCAGTGAAGATGCTCAGAATTCACGCCTTCTCTGATTCTCCTCGTGAAGGTGGTCAAAATTGGTGGGGCATTTTGCTTTATCTCCTTCACAACTTTCACTGGCCGTCTCTGGAGTTCATACATGACCTCGTCTCAGCTCGTAAACTGTTTTCTTTGATGGCTCTCGACCCCTACGACAGATTAGTAACTGCCTGGGCATTTTCTTAGAATAGCATCAACCCACCAGTTCTGTGCAGTTCCCCAATTTTCTGATCTTTTCAATGGAACAGCATGTGTGACTGACATGATGACTGCTGGTAAATAAGTAAACTAGAAGAAAATCCATTATCATATCACCCACCAATCCTTTAGCTCCTAAGTCCCTATTTCTGAACTTTAGTTCACCTCCAACAACTTCTTCATCTTTTCCAATCTAGTTCCTGGTCTCCCAATTGTAATAAAATAGATACTGATCTCAGGTGGGGAATAAGCATCAGAAACAGATGAACTCATAAGACACAAATCTTATGTCCCTATCCCCCTGTTTTCATGCAAATGTCCCCAGTAATTAAATCAGGAAAAGAAAATGTAGCAAAAACATACCAGCCAAATGGTTTCAAAATTTCAGAAGAAGCTGTAAATATGGTCCTTTTTAGAAGATCAGGTTCTCACTAGAGTATGAGAAAGGGTAACAGTTGTTCTGATGAAGCAGTTTTTAAATTCTTGTCAGTGATTTGAAGAGAGATAACTGATGTATGTTGAAGAAGCTGGCAAAATTTTTAAATAGTTCGGACGCTACAGGGAGCATTTTTTTTTAAAGCAATGTACTCAGAAGTGTTGGCAAGACTTTATTTGAACGTAGCAGTGCTTATGTGAGGAAGTTATTTTGAATTACCCTAGTATAAATATGTATGATTTTATTTGTATTGAAAATTTCCTTTGCAAGTGAGTGACTGAGGGACTGTTATATCTCTATTGCTTGGTAAATGATTTAGGTATTTCATTTTGGAAGTAAAATATTATACTCAGGATTCAAAAATAATATCAAAATCCTGTTTGTGACCACAGTGCTTTTTGCACCTACATTAATGCCTTTTAACTCTTATTTGCCATGTAGAACAAACGGCATCTGTTGTTTCAAGTCTGGCTTTTTTACATGACATTCATGCATGCATGCATTCATTCATCCAAAAGACATTATTCAGTGCCTCTCATGTTCCAAGCTCTATGCTAGGCAGTGGGCAGACAGTAATAGTATTGAACTGTCCCTCCTCATAACGAATTTCAGGTAAACATTCTGTTTCCTCCAGGTAATTTTCTGCAGCACAGTGAAAATCTCAAATCCTAGGGTCATATCTTATTATTTAAAAGCTAAGCCTTTTGAAGGTTGCGAACAAGGCTATCTTTAAAAGGTAGTTTTTCTTCTGAATAGAAAGCATGGAAAGAAAGATAAGAAGAGGTAAGGGCCCTGAGTGAGAAATAGGACTTGAAGCAGAGGGAAGAAGAGAGAGGGGAAGGGGGCAAGTATTATAATCAGGACTTAATACTTTTTGCCTCAGTATCTTTGGGCAACCAGTTACTGGTCTACATGAAAATGAAGTTGCTGGCAGGAAAAACACCCAGCCCACTGGCTGATGCAGCCTGTCCATCTGAAGAAGGAGATGGAATTCCCTGGTGGTCCAGTGGTTAGGACTCAGCACTTTCACTGCCGAGGGCCCAGGTTCAATACCTGGTCGAGGAACTAAGATCCCACAAGCCACGAGGCATGGCCAAAAAAAAAGGAAAAACAAAACAAAATTCCCCATCTTCTCTGTTTTCTTTATTTACCTATTGTGTGGTATTAGAGGGTGAGGGGATCATTTATCTTAAATTACAACTACACACCTGCCTTCTTAAGCAAACCATACTTTTACTAATCTACTCCATTTTTTCTTTACGATTTCCTTCCTTTTTCAGAGAAAACCTCTTATTAAATTTTAATATATTTACTTAAAAATAAACCATGAAAAGACTCATCAGAGCCATTTAAAGAGAAAGACAAATATATACACACAATTCTGCATTTGCTCCTTCATTTTTTTTTTCAGAATGTGTGTAAAATTGACACACAAGAAAGGGAATAAAACAGTTTGTGTTAATAATGTAATCTGGTACATAACTTGATGAAAAGGAGGTTGTGCTGGTCTAAGTGTTCCATGGTCCCTGCCTGCTAGGCTTATCTATCCTCACATTTTTTTCAGCCGGGCAGCTTGACTTTCGGGATCTTAGTTCCCCCGACCAGGGATTGAACCCACACCAGTGAAAGCACCACTGGACTGCCAGGGAATTCCCACTATCCTTATTCTTATCTCAGGCCTTTACAAGTGCGAAATAGGAGATCAGTTTACATCCCTTTAAAGCTTCTTAATGAATGGCAGACTCCACACACAACAACAAATATTTCCTATATAATAGGCACTAGTCCAGGGGACTGGGAAAGAGACATTGGTGAGAGGTCACCTTCCTTCGTCAAATAAATTACTATTTAGAGATCCGAAATGAAGCAATGGTTTAAAATTTTCCAAACGATGTTACTTTGCTTTAATATCATAAAAAGCATTACTTTGCCCCCAATTCAAAGTCCAATGTGATTTCAAATGACCTTCGCAAGCATATTTCACCTAGCCTTGAACTCCACAACTACACAAGAATCCTCACCAACGGAAGCAAAACTGCAATAGAGACCATCTCTACAGAACTACTATAGCAAATTATTGTAAATAAGTTTTCAATATCCCAGATAAATGCTAAATGATGGTAGGTAATAATATAGCTCAGGATCATGCTGATTTCTCTAAAATGAAATTCCAAATACACAGTAGATAGATAGACTAAACTTTAGAAGAACAAGGTTTTAGTTTTTCATTCCTGTTTTAAAAGGCCACGTATTGTCTGTGAACTTTCAGCTTTGTTCTGTCTCTCTTGTCTAGAAGGGTGCTAGCCATGGGCCAAGAACAATAGGTAAGCCAGCTTACCTCAACCCAGAAAAATTACCCCGTTGCACAGGAGCCATACCTATGGTTCCACAGTGGCCAAGGAAAAACCTAACAGGAATCGAATTTTTTTTTTTTTTTGCGTGTAGCAAAGTTACTTCCAGAGAGAGCAAAAGAAGCCTGGTTTGCACTGTAGCAGAACCATTGGAACAATATGCTCCCTGTGTCCACAACCCAGTCCTCCCCTGACACCCTCCTTTCTAGGGCATAGGGTAGAAAAGTCACATACACAGTAGATCATGCCAGGGCCTGCTGACACAACCGTACTCCTGAATTTGCAGGCAGCAGAGTGTAGCAATGTCTTTAGTATACACATATTCTTACCTTTTTTTTTTTTTTAAGCAGATGTTTCAGCACTCAACTGGGGGGTGGGAAGAAGATACTGCAGGCAAACTTTCTCAGCGCTATTCCTTCCCTTCTACCCCCTTCACAGTTCCTTCAAACTTCAGAAGTTTGAGTTAAGAGTAGGTAGGTATAGAGCTTTGGACAGTATTAAGGGCCTCTTCTTTTTACCTTGAATGAGTGATCTTTGACATTTCTTTGCCACACCAAACTGGCTGCCAGAGTGCTTCCTCTTATGTCAGGTCATATAGGGAGAATTAGGTGGAAAGGTATTTTTTCTTACAATTGTAAACAGAAGTGTGAAATACAGAATGAAATTGTAAAGTATATTTATTTACCTCAGAGGTTAGAATCGTGATGCTTATAATCACGAGCACTCCACCTTTTCTACGACAAGTTAAGAAGTTCCATATTACTTTTGCAACTTTGTTCTCAGTAAGCATTGATTTCTGTAAAATGCAAGAACCAGTTAAACAATTCCTAATAAAATCATAAAGTAAATAATTAAATAAATGGCACTAAAATAACTAAAAATGATGAAATAAGTATCATCTAAGATACATGCTATATTCACTCTGGTTTTCTGTAATTTAACTTCATGTATTTTCCAGGTAATTCACAAGAAGGAATTCCTATTTATTGATATGCCTACCCTGTAGCATTTTACATATATTGTCATATTTTTTCACCACAGCCAGCTTAAATTTAAGTCCTCTTTTGCTCATTTTAAAAATGAAGTTCTCAGGGGCTTAATATCTTGTCCTCAATACACAATTAGCACTCACAAAGCAGGGAGTCAAATCCAGTTCATCTAATTTCAAAGCCTATATCTTTGCCACTATAATATGCTGTAATTGAGGAGAATGTAAAGAACCTGGTGTCAAATACATTGAGGTCCAGTTCCCAGTCAACAAGCAATTTAAAAATTATACAAGAAAAAAAACAATTTCCAGATATGCCTGTATCATGATCTCTCCTTCATCACTAACTTGTCCTGTGCTTACGTCCAGTACTGGGGCCAACGTGAGCAAGCAGGAACTTGCCCATGGGAATGTCTCTAAGTCAAGGGTCCTGGTGAGAAGACTGAACTAGGAAAGACACTTTACCTGGGAAGCCAGAAGCAACAAAGCCAGAGAAACCATTCTACCTGAGCCAATACTGTAACTGGAAAAATGAGCCTAAGCACTAGATCCAAAAGGCAAAATAAGCCACACATGGAAAAACAAGTACTAACCAAGTCATCCAGGAGGTTTGGAAGTGGGTCACAATGCAGTGTGCAGAGTGGGTGGGCACAAGTGGTTCAGAAGGATGTCTGCGAAAGGTGAGAAGACATTGGATGTCACCTGTATGTGGCGTCTGCTGGGAGGATGGATCTGGCAGATTCAAAGGCCGGTGAGAACCAGACACTTGAATTCTGGAGAAAGTCGTTGATTCTCTCTAGGTCACATCTACACTGCCAGGCCTAGAAAAGCAGGGTTTTTTCTTAGCTACTATTATTTCATAGTTGTGATTATCATGAAGAGAATAATTTTTGAGAGTAAAGTTTTTATATTTAAGTACCTGAAACATCACTGCAAAAAAAAAAAAAAACAAAACCACTTTTAGAACCGTGCAAAATTAGAACATCCAAGATTTATAATTTCACCTTTTAACAGAATAAGGACTGTTAAAGAAGACCACAAAGCAGCATGAAGTTATTTCCAGGTCACTAAACAATCTATAGGTGCAAACAGTTTTTGGTCCCATTGCCCTTTACAAAGGAAAAGAAGAAAAAGGTACAGGTCACTCTGAGCCCCTAGGCTGATGTCCAAATGGCCCTTTTGGTAGTTTCAACGTGAAAGAAGCATGGAATGGATCCTTTGAGAAAGGAAACAATTAAGGGACCCTTTAAGTGTTTTGAGGAGTCTTAAGGAAAACAACAAGAAAAAGAAGTCAGTATTGGGATTAAATATTGCAATAGTTTTTTCCCATAAGCATTTGCATTGACTTTTCAGCTTTTGCATCAAAAAGAAAATCTGGCCTTCTGGATGTTTAAGAGACTAAGGAATTTCATTTTCCACTAGTAAACTGATTTTCTCCCCCACTATAGGTACTTAGAATTAGCGCAAACCCCAGGATAACTACAATTCCAAAAGGAAATGCTCACTCAGCTCATTATGAATGGTCTTACAACAAATACTGTTCTGACAGCCAAATTCCTGGTCTCCAAATTTGTAAGTTTGCCCTTTTTTTTTTCTCACAAGTCTTACTCAAGACCGCTTCTGAGCTTCTGCACATTTAACCCTTACAGTCAAAGACAATATGTTACTAAAGAACATGAGAAACTTCAAGTTCATACATTTGGACTAAAAGAAATCTGATATTTATAACCAAATTATGACCATATTGAATACGACAAATTAACTCCTTAACCAACAGAATAAAAAAACACTATTTATTTTCATGTCTGTGGCTACGAATTCTTTGAAGAGGTCTGAAGAACTGTAAACCAGCCAAAAATCCTATGATGCTTTCCATTTTATTTCTTCACTTTAATAACACAGCACTCACTTCTCAATAGAAAAATGACGAATGATACTAAAAGGTAAATAGCTGTTTTTAACTAGTCAAAATTAACTAAATTGTCCTCAGTTGATCCGTATATTCCATGTTATTTTTTCAACCTTTCATTACAATAATAAAGCTACACTATAGTGAAGTTTCAGGCACTACTTTATTTAGTTCTCAAGAAAACTCAACAGAATGGGCACTATTAGTGTACCCACAACATAGCTAAGGAAACAAATTTAGAGTAGATTGTCGGTAATCACACAGGTAGTAACCTGCAGGGTTAGTATTCAAAATAGATTCTTTGGACGTCAACTGACACAGGGGTATAAAAATATCAGGGATAGGCTTGCTTGATCATTTTAAAATAACTTTAAATCAGTCCATATATTAATAAGTAAAAGTAAAAAATTATCTTAAATTCAGGTATGAATTATTTGTCAATTACCTCAATTTTCACTTTTTGACATGTGTAAATAGACATAACCAAAAAGTTCAATGATCAAATTCCAATAAGAAAAAATGGTGCATAATTAGTGCACATCTCTGCATTTGGGGAGGAGACTGACTTGATTTTACATAGGGTATTGTTTTTCCTCATTAATTGTAGTTCTGTCACATATTTGTATCTGACTGCTACATAAATGATTCACAAATTGTTAAGAAGTTTTATGGATATCTGGAAAGAATACTACAACCCAATAAATAAACTTTTACAAGTGCCAGAGAGAAATTTTACATTAAAATGTTACTTTGTTTCTTCGTCCTGAGAGAATGAATTTAAAAAAAAAAAAAAAAACAGTTAAAATCAAGCATTAGATATGCAAATATGTGTTCAGATCAGAGATACCAAAATTATTCAAATGATTAATTATTCATCATAAAATGTCAATTAATAATTATGAAGCATAAAAAGCATCTTTCTAATGCATCTTTATTTTTCTTGGCCTAAAAAGGGCTTAATATACATGTTCAATTGACTTCTAACAAGTTTTAAAAATCCAACAAAGTAAACAAATTGCAAACAAGTGCAAACTCTGAATTTTAATAGGAGAACAACATGCTCAAAATGAATGAAAGACAGAAAAAAAAAATAAGGAAAACTAAAACCATAGCCACATTCATGACATATGCAGCTCCGTGTTCACTCACCTGCTAGGCAATAGGGCAACCTGGCGAAGAAAACAACCCAGCAACTCAAGCTGTGAATTTGCTTAGCATGTACAAAACACAGGGCATGGTGTTTCTCTCTGAATTGATTCGTGTGGGGCAGGGGTGCTTTAGGAATTTTTTACACTTTCCAAATAGTCATTAAAAGAAAAAGCACAGTTTAAGTTTCTTTAAATTACCTATTGTAATTTCTAAAGTCTGTTAAGCCCTGCTAAAATATCACCATAAATGAGAAAATTTTTCACATTGCTTTAATTCTAAAGAATTTCCCTACAACAAGTATTATTCATTTTTCTTCCAGGAAGATTATATCTTTTAAGAAAAAAGGAAGTCAATTTGAGCTGATATGATAATTCAGAATAGGGAGCCACTATGATTACTGAGATATAGATTTATATTTCTTTTATTACTATTATTATTATTATTTTACTTTTCACTGACACCTGGCGAACTTGTTCTCTGATGACCCAAGGGAGTTACTTTAGTCAGGGTGTCCCTGACCTCCTGCTGGTAGATTAATTACATATGAAACATTGTGTTTTCAAAACGAAATGATAAATCTGGACACATAAAGGTGGCAGAAAAGAATCAGGGCGAGAGAGAAGAGACGTTAGGAAACAAAATAAGGGCTTGCAAAAGGGAGATATCAGATAGAAAGAAAGGATAATGTAGGAAAGGCAATTGGGAAAGAATTTCAAGAAAATAAGGATAAAGGTCAGGGAGGGCTGAAAGGAGGGCAAGAGGGAGGAAAGGAGGGAAGGAAGGATTTGGGGTTTTCAATCCCCTGGCGAGGCTGCTGGCGTCCGCGCCCTCAACGCCACAGCCTTCCAAGTTGAGGCGAAAGCCACCTCCTCGGGCCTGCGTCGCATCCAACTTACTCCAAGTTTTCTGGTGACTCCTACAGGGCCCCTTTCCGTCCCCCCCATCCCACCCCTTAGTGAGATTGACAGTCGCGTGGAGGAGGCTTTTCCAGGCACAGCCTTTCTCATGGTAATCAGCCCCCAGCATCACCTCGCGGCCGCGGCCGCTCCCGCTCCGTGCGCAGCTCGCGGACCCCGGGGACCGGAAACAAGGCGGCGGGCGGGGAGCCGGCGAGCGAGCCAGGTCAGCTGACCCGGCCGCGGGGCGGGGGTCGCGGCGTTCCCGGGCGGGTATAGGTCTGGAGGAGGGGGGGGGTGGTGCGCGGGGGCCGAACCCCTCCCCCCCCCCAACGTGTTCCTCCGCCTGTGCTGCGGAGGCCTTACCCTGAGATCAAATGAAGGGACCGAAGCTGGGGGCGTGGGGGACAGAGCGCGCCGAGAACTGGGGGCGACAAGCAGACCTGTTTTGCATCAATAAATTAAGACGCTCATTTGAGTCCTGAAGTTTGCTGGTTCCTGTCAGTGGAGACGTTGCCAAAAAGCACTGAAGCCGAGATTCAGCCTTAACTTCAAAAAATAAAATAAAAATAAAATAAAATGAACCTCTCAGCTGGCTGCCCTGCTGGGGCCAGGTGACGTGCGAGATTCCACAGCCCGCGGGCCTCGCAGTAGGGATATTAGAGACGGTCTGAGATTCTCTGGTCCTGTTTTGATTTTGTTTGAAAGGGCTTCTCAGAGAGATGCTTCTGATTTTTTTTTTTTAATAGACTTTCCCCTCCTATCCTAGGCTCAACTCCGAATGGATTGGATTGCGAGTTTGCACGTGAGAAAACCGTTTGGCTTGACTTGGACCCCTGCCGCCCCCCACCCCGTCCACACACACCCCCAACGCAGGGGTCCCCCTTATCATCCTTTGCTTGCAACTCTAAAAGAAGTTTCCCACCTTCTGTGTAACAACACAGGGTCGAAATAATTCCTCTAGATGAAAGATCAATTCCGTTTCAAAAAGAGAATAGGTTCCTTTTTTTAATTTTCTCCACATGGTACAGAATAAACAGAATTTGCTTTAAAAAAAATTAGCTGTGGCCAAATTCGAATTCCTTCTACAGGCTGTGTGTTCAGGGCAGAAACATTGTATCTCTTCTGGCATCTGGGCCAGCAAGCGGAGCTGGGGGCAGGGGAGAAAGGGGGAGCGGCTGTGAAAGTTAAGGAAATTGACAGACTGAGAGGTGAATGGGGGGACAGGCACCAGGTCCTGGCTGGAGGGAACTGGAAAACAAGAGTGCATCTTCACACGCTGCCTGGGTGGAGGGAATCCTGAGGGAGGCAGTTTGTTTTAACTCGAAGAAACCCTAAAGAATTATTTTTCTCCCTTCAATGTCGATTGCAATATTATTTCACATTTGCATGTATCTGTTGTTTTAATCCCCTTGGTCTGCGCTAATCTCGAAATGGATTACTAATGGGGAAGAAGGACCGGGAAGGAGCGATTCATTTGCAAGGACTTGCTCTGCTGTGTGAGGAGCCGAAAGCTAGCAGCTCCTAGTCCTCTCTCGACTTTTCCCTGCGTCCTGCGCTCGTGCATCCCGCTGACCCCACGATCCCCATTGTCCCCGACCTGGCCTTCGGACTAAGAGAGTGTTCGGTACAAATTTATATTCCGGCTTCCTCCGATCCCACCGCCTCTGCTTTGGTGTGAACTCTTTCGGTCAAATGGGGAGGGGAGTGCCAGGGGCGTGCCAGGCAGGGGCGGAGGGCAACCCACCGGCGCGCTCACCCCTCGCGGGGACGCTTCGCGTGCCACCCTCCAAATATCCACCTTGATGGGAACCTGAAAGATTGCTTTTTACCCCAATTCAAATACTTGCACGTCGGCACTCCCAGTGCTAAGTGTTGAGGCTGTCTCCTGACACTTGAACAATTACTGAGCCCAGAGTAATCAGATGATTAGGTGTTTTTCATGGAAATACTTGTCTTTTTTTTTTTTTTTTTTAAGTCAGATACTAAGTAACCAGACAATAATATACATAATAAAGAGAAGTGATTTGTCAGCCGTTTGATTGGATCCTTTGACCTGAGGTTTTGCCAGTGAGTGTGTGTCTGGACT